TGCTAGCCTTAACCTTCTTGTTCTGCTCACATTTGCTCATGTCAGCTCAATTTTTCGAACCCTTTAATATCACGATGCTACTAGTTCTATATTCCACATAAGAGTTATTCTATTTCTCATACTAATCTAACTATTTAGTAGCGTGTCGTCTCTATCGACGCGCTATCTATCTATTAGCTACACTGTACACGCCGCCTGCACGACCCCATTCACACGACAGTGATACAATCAGGCGGGAGATAGCTGCGTAGAACGCTAGATACATACAGTCGCTAGGATAGAGAGCCGGCCACGCTGGGTCGACATCTTATATAGTTTGACAACGGTGCAATGGCAGTTCGATGACAGTGCCCTGCCGTCAGTCGCACTCACGTCCTCGCGGAGCAGCTGGCCGTCACGGTCTGGACGACGGTCATGGTCGACACCAGCGTCGACACAACCGTGGCGACCACAGTCAGACCCGTAGATGGCACGACCTTGGACGCCATGCTGACCTGGAAGAGCGACGACGACGACGACGACGCCGCCGGGGGCACGCTCGCTTGCGCGCCGGGTGTGGTCTGTCCGTCTAGGGGCGCGCCAGCCGATGGCGTCGATGCGCCCGCCGGAGCTTGCCCGGTTCTGGTCGACGTGTGGCTCGCTGTTGGTGATGCCTGCAACCCTGTGGAGGATGTCGCCGACGCCAGCGATCCCGACCCCGACAACATCGCCCCCGTTGGTGGCGCGCCGTCTGACTCGGGCGCCGATCCTTCCGTGCTTGTCCTGGTCATTGCGCTGCTTGAGCCTGGCGCGCTGCTTGAGCCGGGTGTGCTGCCTGAGCCTGGCACGCTGCTCGAGCCAGGTGCGCTGCTCAACGCGACGCGAAAGTCGGTCGTCGTCTGCGTCACCAGCGTTGGCACCGTCGAGACAACCGTCGTCGACGACCGCACGATTGTCGCCAGCGTACTCCGTGTCACCACCGGCTCCGACACGCACCCAATCCGGCCGACATTCACCAGTGGCAGGTTGGGGTCGCCGCGGCCTCCGGCGATCGTGGCGTGAGAGCACGTTGGTGGTAATCCCGCGCATTGCCTAGAAACCTGTTAGCGCGGATGTCTGTCGCGTCGCCTGTCCTGGTCGCCTGTCCTGGGCGCCCGTCTCGTCCGTCTGGCGCGATCGCTCAGGCGTGACCAGTTGGGCATGCAGGTGCGCCATCCTACCATGTAATGTGTGCATCGCCGCTGGGCGCCCCTGTCGGCACCACAAAGCTGGCGACCCTGCGACCTGAGCAGGGAATGGCCTCGAAGGCATAGCTGACGGGGAGGAAGTCCGGATTGTCGAACTGGAGGGTGGCCCCGCACCGTCGATCCAGCGCGTCCTCCACACTAGAAGCTGCGGTTAGCAACAGAGCAACAGACCATGCCACCCACACCACGACCACGCCCTACGAGCGAGCAGCATTGCGCCAACGGCCACACCAACAGCATCACTCGCTGCGAGCCGCATCACACCCGGCAACGCTCCACGCGAACGGACCAACGTACTCGGCAGACACCACCGACCGACCGGCCTCGAGGGCGACGACGGGACTCGACATGCAGATGCAGGGGCCGTCGTGCAGGGCCAGCACGCCGGCGTGCACGAGAGGGAAAAGGAGGAGGAACTTCATCGTCTTGGTGGGTGTGGGGGGGCCGTCGGTCTTGGGCACTGGGTTATCACGCTGCCTTGCGCGTTATGACCAGCCGGTTATGAGAAGTGGGAGCGTCTCGTGCGCCGCCACGACAGGCGACGGTCGCCCTGCCAGCTAAATAGCGAGGGCAACAGGCGGCCGTCCCATGTTGCATGTTCGTTGTCGGTCATAAGCCAGAGTTGATCATGCTAACCCACCATGGTTCCGAGACGCAGTCAATTGCTGGACGTCGGTTGTCAGATGGCAATTGTCAGACGTCAAAGCTGAAATCGCGCACCGTCGGTTCCACTGCTGATAACAAAACAAGGTTTGCACTATGACCCATGTCACATCTCAGGACATGGGTCACTGAACTTTCACGCACGATTGGTCAAGAACGCCCCATGTTGACCATCACGGCCTGATGATCAACGAAGCAAGACCGACACTGCAACCCTGACGTTACGAGCGGTTATGTTCCTGTCGGGGTGATCGTCCCGCAAGACAATACACTGCAGAGCAGACCACTTCCGATGCAGCTAAAGGCAACAGGCTTTCGATAACGTTGGCACCGATCATGTCCTAGACATGCATCATAAGACGTGGTGCCCCCGGGACGGTAGGGTTTTTTGGGCTCACTCGCGATTTGCTGCCCTCAGCACATTGGATCTTGCAAATGCATTGCTGGACTCTTGACTTGCGACTTGCCGGCGAGTCCTTCTTGCTCACTCTTTCTTGTTCACGAACATCTTCCGATAGTCCATACTACGCACTAGTGATTTCTTTCAAGCTTGTACTGCAACATGGAAATTCAACACGAAAGGACTCGGTTCGAGACGGATACGCCAGCCCTGCACCCTGTCCGTAAGTGTTGTAAATCCTATCGACTTCGTCCCGCATCGCCTACACGACGAGCTCACTGTGCAATACACGCTTAGCAGAGGCCAGCTTTTCGGCCACAACACTGCGCAGGGACAACAGCTTCATTCTCTCGGGCTATCGGTAGTGTGCCCTCAATGCCCGAATATGAGACGCGGCGTTAATCGACCGCATAGTGATGTGTCATCTTCGTACTGGCAATGTTTGCAAAGTACACTTGAACTCCACAATGAAACAGGTGCGGTAGCTTCACACTAGATGCGATGAACATCGCCTCTCTGACCAGTGACAAAGTCAACATTTGGTCGCATGCCCTGGGATCGCTGTGGTTTCTTCATCAATTTTTCGATGACTGTATCAAAGACGACACCACCGCTCTGTTGACCTCCGATAGGTTTGCCATCGGCATGTTTGACATGTCAGTGGCTTTATGCTTCTTCTTCTCTGCAGCCTTTCATACGTTCAGTAACCACAGCCACAGTGTTTACAGACTTAGCAACCAGATGGATCACTTAGGTATCGTCTTGTTAATGTGGGGAACTGGACTTTCTGGCGCCCATTTTGTCTTTCGATGCCAGCGGACTGCATACACGGTCCATCTGACTCTTATGTCGGCCTCCGCCGTGCTGAGCGGCCTAGCCACGCTACGACCTGCTTTTCGTGAGACGGGGGACCAACAACCGCGTGTTCTTGTCTATGCATGTTTCGGTATCGGTCTCTTTGCGCCGGTGCTCCACGGCTTGTATGAATTCGGGCTTGCGGAGCTCGACGAGAGAATGGGTCTCAGATCGTTTCTTGGCTTGGTGTTGCTCAACTCAATAGGGGCCTCGCTGTATCTCTACAAAGCACCAGAGCGGTGGTTGCCTGGCAGGTGTGACCTTGCCGGGCAGGGCCATAACTGGATGCACGGGTTCGTGCTTGCTGGAGTATGGATGCGGCGTAACGGTCTAGTTCAGCTGGCGATCCCGAAAAGCGCAAGACAGGATGTTCTATGAGTGGTCGAACGAAGGAATAATCATTCAAGCGCCAATCACGATCATGATCTGCAAACGAGATGATGGGCATACATTTGAGGGTTCTCCTGGAGATAGAGCGGATTGGCATCATTAAAAAAACGGAAGCTAAGCCTCAGTTCACCATTCATCAAATATGTGCTGCTTTGGAGCCGACTCCCTAGGCTTCTTCCAAGTCCTTGTGACGAAGAAATTCTGGACACATCCGCCGGAAGCCGCAGACAGGAAAAGATGAGGGAACTAAATCGTAACCCTTCCGTCACGGTGTAGTCTGAACCAGCCGTCGGAAAGGGCGGAGAGGACAGAAGGCTCGTGGTGTGCTGGCAGAGAAGCTTGTTTCTTGGACGATCAAGAGAAATCCTGATCACGTAATGGTCCACGGAATGCCCATGGTCCCTTCGCTGTGGTGTGCTGAGAGTGGAGACATCGGCTAAGGCAGCTACGCAGGCCTTGTAGTTTAATATTGAGGATTCAACTTTGACCTCCCCTTAGGTTCGTGCTCGGCGATGCATCCTCTACGCCAGTGCCGACGTACTAAACGAAGTACGAAATATCAGAGTCAGCCTGCGGGATCGAGATGGAGGCTAGATACACGTTTATTAAAGTACTGACTGCATGCAGCCTTAAGTAGATGATTTGCGTTCGGTGATCTTCTTTGTTGCTCATATTGAGATTTAGTTATACGACCGTGGCGGGTGGCTTCAACCCGCCCTAGGTGTGGAAAGGGGCATAAAGCACCTTACTGTCCGCCCAGTTCTCTAGAACCACCGATCCTTAGATATCTCAAGCTTTGCATCATGGATGCCCAGAAGAGAAAGCGACAGGGCCCACGCCTTACCAGTCAAGAAAGACTCATCCGTCCGCACCCCGGTGATACATCATCATCTTCTGATGACGCATTGTCTTCTGATGAGCGGCCATTCAAACGACGGAAAGTGAAATGGAAAGTGAATGAGTCGAAGCGAGCAAGTGACAACGATAAAGGCAAGCAGGTTCCCGCCATTGTGCCCACGTTGAAGTTTCAAAAGACTGGTGGAGCCGTGAAGCTCCTACCAGTGTCAACGCAAGTGCCGGATTGTCTCCCGTCCAAGATCAAAACAGATGGGGCAACGGCTGCTTCTCCCGTTTCTCTACTGAAATCGCTTCGCGGTTGGACCATCAAGAGCAGCAACGGCGCCAGTTCATCTGTAAACACAAACACGTATCACAAAACGAAGAAATCTTCAATGTTCAGACTCGGCATGGCAGTAAGATCTGCCCGTCCTGTTTCTTGTTGACTTGCTGACACGCTAGACCACGGAGGACCACACCCGTCTGAGTAAACAAAATGTTGACGATGTCTTGAATATCATCACTTGTCAGCACCAACAGAGAATCAGTGTTCTGGATCAAAACACGAAACTGTTCCCGGAATCCAACTTGACTCTTTTGCCCGTCTTTCAAGACGGTCAATGGGCTCTCGGCTACTACTCAGCAGCCGGGCTGACCGTGTACGAATCACTTCCCGACTTGTCCAGGCGCGAGGCCATGACAGAATATTTTCAAGACTACCACAAGACACAACCCGGCTTGCTCGTCACAATTTCAGCTCCGCTGATCCGCCCGAAGTTTCACGATTCCGGCGTGTACCTCCTGGTCACCGCTATTCTCCTCATAGCAGAGTGCGACCTCCCGAGCAGCATTGACTACGGCTTCTGGAAAGAGGTGTTGAAGCATATTTTTCTATCCCATGTAGGTTACCAAATCATCGCCCAGCCCATTTTCTCAAACACGCCGTCGTCAAGTGGTTGCTCGGATATGACCAACTTTGGACTGTCAGCTAGGGTTTCGCCAGACTGCCCGGGATGCTTCTTGCATGACAATCGGAAGGTGCGCATCAAAGGCCTCAGCCTGGAAGTGGTGCCAAAGTACCGTCAGTCGTTGCAGTCGGCTGAGAAGGCTTGCCACGCACTGTCCAAGTTGACAAAGATGTCATCGAAGAAAGGTGCGCGTGTTGCCAATGAAAACAGCCGCCGAATTATGCAAGCACTGCAGTTCGCCAAGTTGTCCAAGAGTTGCCTGCAGGCGGAAGTTGACAGGCTTCAATCACGTTAGGATGACTGACGGCCTTCAAAGCAAATGCAAGAGGGGATGTGGGTCTCCCTTCCGCTATCTCCTGCTGAGATGATGTGGGTGTGGGCGGAGCCTAGGTGCCCGTGTGAGAGAAGAGATTAACTTGATGCACACAATGTTCCCTACCCTTCGCCTCAAATTCGTGAACGAAATTAGACGACGATGTTGATCCTATGGAATTAGTTCGCGAGAGAAAGTAGCTATGATTGGTACAGGGATTCACTCTAGTATAAATAGACATGAGTATTAAACATTGGCGACGAAGTGTTTTGAGGCGTAAAAATGATGCAGGATATATGTACGTTAAAAACAAAACCAGATCGGCAAGCCTCGTATCAAATATTCCCTGCTGGCCATAAGTAATTGACTTCACGGTCCAGCCCCCGCTATGCGCCATATTGGCGGATGCTGGCTCGCAGATGAGACAGAATACTGAACCGCGTTGGAAAGCACTAATCACTCAAATCGCCTACACGGGGGTGAAGTGTGGCACCATCCAAAGAATCGTTTAACCCATTTCGCTATCCGCTCTCAAGCCTCGCGGCATCTCAACAGCTTCATGCTTGCCGATTTTAGAGGATGAAGACCTTCAGTCTACTCTATGTTGCTATTGACTCGGCTTTGGAATACTCACTTAGGCAGATGATGGAAGTCTCGACCGCCGTGTCACGGCCGCCCGCGGATCAAAGTGGGCCGAGGCCTGCCAGTGATATTGGCCTTATTACCTTTGAAGATTATTTTACGCCATAAAAGGCGGCAACGCCTTTCCTGTGAAGTCTTTTGGAATTCAGACGGCACTGAGTCCGCATTCATAGGATTCGTGGCCAGATCTTCCGTGATCCTTTCCCGCTGCTTTTCGAGCTGATTGACCGTGAATCGCAAGGGGTCCTCGCAGACCTCGGTCCCTTCGCTTTCATGTATTCGAGAGGCCGAACTGGGATCTTGCATAGTAGAGGATTTCTGGTCGCCACCCAATTGCTCGGTTTGCTGGCAAAGCGTGGCACATAACAAGAGTCCCTTATTCGTGCTCAGTCTTTCTCCTTTTATGCGTTGACGGATAACGGCATTTGGAATCGTGCTTGCGGCGGGGTGTCGTGCCAGGGTCTCGAGCTTCTGCTGTATATCTTCCAGCTGAGACTCCAAATAGACGATCGTGGTCGCAACAAGGTCTCGATAGACTTGTATGGTTTCAGTGGTAGTCGAGGATGTGTGGCTGAACATGCGCCATTAGTTATCAGGCTTGGCGGGACTAAGAAGCGACATACTAACAGTTTCATAAAATCAAGAGCGACAGTGATAGTGGACTGGTATCCAATCAGCTGCATCCGAAAGCCTTCGATACCATCGCCGTTGCTGTATTTGAGCTTGGTCCATTCACGAAAAGTTCTGCGATCAGCACCAGGTCGTGAGCAACGAGTAAGCAGCTCAGTTTCGACCTCGCTGCAGCTTCACCTGCACTGTTCCAGCGTGAACGTGAGTGCGGAGGGCCCAACGTCACGGATAAAATGCTCTTGTTCGGAAAACTGTTGTAGAACTGAAGTCAGACCCGAAAGCTCGCTCAGGAGAACTCGTACTGGGCGGGGCCGGGACTGGAAGGACTGGATCGTCTTGTAGAGTCTGCTGCTGGAGTTGAAGGCGAGGACCGCTACAGCAAGCACAACTGACGCCAAACCCAACGTTTCTGACATGATAGCGACGGCGTGGGGTGTTTGGCTCAATAGGGGAGAAGTCTACCCGAGCCAGATAGGAAACGTGCTTAAGCCTCACAGAGCAAGGTGGGGTAGATCACGTGTTGGGTTGAACCCTTGATTACCTGGCGACTTCATTCATATGCAGGCTGGAAAGGGGAAGATTCCAGTTCTTAACAACCAAAGCGCTACTCGCACGCGTCGAACCATACCGTATTTCGCCACCAACTGATGCGCCGAATTTCTCGCAGCATTGTTACTCGCGATCATGGAAAATCGAGACCAGTATTTCAATTTACGATCAAAGCGGGGTTGGCCATGATCTGTCCGAGAGGAAGCAGCCATGGAGCATTCCGGAACCTGCAGAATCTAGAGCAGGTAAACTGGAACGAAGGATTAAAATATCGATTGAATCAACCAAAGAACAGCTCTTGTCACCCTGCGAGCAAAGAAGACAGCCAGTGGTCGAGGGGAGGTGGCGGAAACTTGAGCTGAGGCTTGAACAACCGGTCCAACAGTGGCGTGAAGACCAAATTCAGCAAGGCGATGGCACGACCCAAATTTGGTTTTGACAAATGGCTGACTGATGTACAGAAGCAATCATGGGATTGGGATCAGACCTATGCCGGCCGGCGGCATTGTCAGCAAATCAACTCTCAAGCAGGTGGCCGAGAATTTCAAGAGCATTGCCCAGCATGAAGACAGACCAGTGCAGGCCAGCGATCGTTTCAGTGAATCGTCTCTTAATCAGGTGGCCGAAGATTCCAAGCCCATTGCCCAGCAGCAACCCAATTTAATGGGGCGCGGCACCAAGTTCCCAGTATCACTACCAAGAGGTGAGGCTATTTCTACCGGCCACGACTCAGCTTTCGATAGCCGCTCCGGCTGGGGCCCGATGCTCACTAAGCCTTCGGTGTCTTCTGCCCAAGCCATACAGCTCAGCAAGTTGTTGGGAGAAAGACTGGCGTACCACAGGCTCAAGAATGAGCAGGAGACTGCCACGAGGTTGAAAGACGAGGTCCAGTCTCTAGCAATGCATGTGAAAGCGTCAATCGATCACGACAAGCGACAGAAAAAACGCATCACGAGTCTAGAGGACACCCTTGTGCAACAGGCCAAAGAGCTAGTGTCGGCAACGAAGGAAGTGGCTACGTTAAAGGACGAACTACAGTCCACGATACACCAACTAGGCACCCAAGTCAAACTTTTGACAACGGCCGAGAGCAAGCTCGCAGTGTTCCGGTCCTACACTGAGGAATTGACCCCCATTGAAGATGTCAGGGTGAGCATGTACGTAATAAGACGAGTCATCCACAGGTAGGGCAACAAACGCTAATGCTGAGGTCAGCTTCAAGATGCTCGGCGCATCGTTCAATGACGCTTTAGATTTATTGCAGGCCTTTTTGGGGTGTGACCTTGACCAAGCCCAGCTGAAAGACTTGAGATCATGGGATCGCATCCGAACTCATGTCGCCATACAGCGTGCGATCCCACTTCCGGCCTCCGATTCAGCCCATGCAAAGCGGATGAGGACCATCGCCGGCCTAGTCATCTATGCCAGGGCGCTCACTACGTTCATATTCCAATTAACATACGTGTCCGTGGAGAATGACACCGAGAAGGCCTTAGACGTGCTGCCAACAGCAAATCCCGAGCAGGACAAGTTTGTCCGCGCTGTGCTACTCAGGGTATTGCCTGACCAGCAGAGGACGCGTCGAGGCGCTCGTGTGGAACGCGTTGTCGAGGCAGTATTGGCGGCAGTGATTGGCTGTGTACCGGCCCCCCTGCATTCGACCTTTCAGTCCCGGCTCACTCACCTCACAACTGTGCTATCTGACAATTGGCAGCTAGTACAGAAGCTCAACAAGAGAGTTGAGCCGTACTAATCCATCGAAAATCCAGACCACTGGCTGCCATTGCCGGGATCAGTAGACCCGGTCGCTATGGACATGAATATGGGAGGTCATGAATATCAAGCACAGCGGCAAAGCGCGCATCCAACACTCTCAGAAAGCGAAGTTGTTAAGGTTATATGGCCTGCTTTTCTTGCCGCCAAACCGGAGCAAGAAGCAGTAGAGGAAGGCATACCAGCAGATCTCATTCGTCACGGGTATACGCTTACGCGGGCAGATATCCAGGGTGCTACGAACGAGATGATGCCACGGCGGACTATTTGGAACGCCATGCGAGGGAGACGTGTTGACAGATCAAAGCTAGAGGCCCCACCCCCTGTGCCCCAGAAACTTGGGGATAATTCTTAATAACGCCCCCAAACGGGGGCGAAATTTTTCTTTTTGGCCCAGCGGGATGGGAATTGGGATAAAACTTCCGCTGGGTTCGGGGGGGGGTTTTACCCGGGGGGAAATTTGGCCCCCCCCCCCCCCCCCCCCCCCCCTAGTTCTTCTATCGAGCATATCCTGATGGGTGTTAAGGGATGCGGAGAGCACATGTCGATGGATGTACGGGAGCTTCTGCCTGGTGGAGTCGAGAGGCTACGGAGAAGGATCGAACACAATGCTGCCGCCGTCAGAAGTCGGTCAAACAACCCGTCCTCGACTAGTGGCCATGTGGCGTCAGCGCCAGTACATGTGAGCTCATCCGCAGCAGAGCTGTCTCCAGGGTCTTCGAACGTGTCGTCCGGCGATGCGGCTGGGCCTTCACCACAATTTCAGATGGCGACACAGCCTGCCAGTGGCATCTCTTTGCCGATTCAAGAAATCGTGATGAGTCCTCAGTACTTCCTCCTTTGTATCAAGACAGACTTGACCGTGCTGGTACAGATTGAGGTGTCTGCCGTAACCAGTGATAAGGCCCTCTTCAAACGCATTCGCGAGGAATATGAAGCCACACAATGGAAGCATCAAAAACACATCTCGATACCAGCTCCGGCATGGCTCCATCAGTCTTATGACTTCATCGTCGCAAGGCTCCCAGCCAGCATGCAATTCCTCACGGCAGCGTGGAGTAGCCTGACAGACACTCGCCTCCACCAAATCACTTCGGGCGACCTAGTCCAAGTATGTCTTTTATCAGGTCTCCATGTACTAGCTGACCATGACATCTTAGTTCAGCTTAGTCCCTGTTAGGTCTACCCTAACTATATCAAGGCGAAGCAGCTGCCACCCAAGGAGCAGGTAGACCAGCTACAGTACCTTTATAATCCAGTGCCGATGGACATTGAACATCTTGAAATACCGCTGGGACATTTGCTTAAGCCGGGGGAGCACCTTGACAGTTTTTGGCTGACGACGTTTCCGAAGAAGCTGCAGGGCCCGCTCGTGCGACTGGCTGGGGCGAGCGCAGAGCAGACAATTGGATGGGGAATCAGGGTCAACGAGAGGCCGAATACGTTTAACATTCTGTATATGGTAGTTGCGGGACTGATTTTGCTTATTATTGTCGTGCTTTTGTATGTATATCTCAAGGTGGATTGGAGTGAGAGCTATGGGCTGGGGGCATTTTTAGTGGGAGTAATGGCTATTTGGCTGCCCTTTCAGTATCTAGCTTGGAGTGGAGGCTTTGGGAAGAGTTGACCTTGATCCGTGAACTATCCAGCACTTTGGTAGTCATCGGAAGATAACCCACATCTCTGCGATGTGATATCGTCATTTCACGGCAAGGACTCTAGAGTCTCAAAGGGCTGAGGAGAGAAAATCGAGCCTACAGTTCCTCAGGTTCGCAAGCAAGTGAACAACTACCAAAGCGAGTAGTAGCACATGTGTGGGATCTTATGCCCAGTTCTTTGTGGACACAACGTATAGAGTTGTATCTATCTATCTTTTTGCACTTCTCATCTGCCGCTGCCTGACCTTCTTTTGACGCCTCAACTCCACTTGTTCCGATGACCTGAGCGGGACACCATGTACAGAGTGAACATGGTTCCGAAAGTGGTCCAAGTGCTGGAACTTTTCCTTCCTACACTTCGGGTGGTCGCAGCGTATCGGCTCGCCACGTTGCTCAGCGAGCTCCCGTTCTTCCAAACGATGGTCATCAAAATGGTCATTTCTGACCACGGGGCGACATTACTTGAATGTCCGCTGCCCGGAGGAAAGCCGCTCATCGCCAATGCAGCTCGGGCACTGGGTCGGGTCCATTAGTAGGGGGAAATCATCTTGCTCAGTTTTAGGCGTCTCCTGCTTGATGGATATGTTCATCTGCGGTCGGGTTCGTAAGCGTTCGCGCTTGATCGTCTCCCGCCCATCGCATAACGCCACCATTGTGTTAATAGCCTCGATTCGTAGCTGGTGAACTTCCGTCTCACTCAGATCCTTGGGCTGCTTGCATAAAATCTCGGCGAGCCGGGCCCGCTCGGAATATCGAGGTCAATCGCTGGCTCGACATACTCCTCTTCCTCCTCACCTCGCGCTTGCCTCTCGATGTTCCAGGTTGGCCGGTTGTAGAAGTAATGTTTCCGATATTGGTCTACAATCTTGGCCTCACGCCCTACTCGCATCGTCCTGATTGTATCTGTGAGCTGGCGGATCTTTGCTTCATACTTGTGGCCTCGAATTTGATACGACCGCTGCTTTAGCGCCGTCCGCTCTTGTTGAAGCTCAACAATCTCTGGGTCGGGGAGGAGATTCGCCCACACCTCTGCCGGGACCATATCTCACTTCGCCCGAGGATCACGGGTCAGGCTGACGTGCGCGAACAAGCGGTACAATTGATCTTCAGTCTCTTCTTCCAGAAACGTGTTTTCCAGGTCGAACTGAACCCTCTCGTTGAGGTAGGCGCCGTGAAATGTGGCGAACTTCGGATCGTGGCGCATCATTTGATCGCGTACTACGTCAGGCGCATTTCCTGAGAACCCCTTATCAGTTGCGGTCCACTTTCAGACGCCTGGGGAAAGTTCTAATATACCATTAGCCGCATTAGACGCTCCTCTGCGGAAGATCTTTGCCGTCCGGCGCTGCTCGAACCCAGCGTCCAGACTTTGTCGACCGAGGTCGTCTCTGAATTTACTGTACAGCATGGCCTCGGTCTTGGACAGGTCTCCACCACGCCCGAAGCGCCGAAAAACAGGAATCTTCTTCATGTCTTCCTTCCACCGGAGCGGAGTGCATTTAGTGGAACCCCAGTTCTTTGTCCCGAGGACCCGTGTAGCGTTCGTCAAGCTCGGCGCGTCGAAAGCCTGGTCATGCAGCGCGAGGGCGATCATGATGCTGACGGGACAAAATATTAACTTCCTGGTGGGCGTGAAGGAGAAGATGATGCTAGCCTCTGTTAACGACAGCATGGTGTGACGACAATGCCTGAGAGCTAGACACTTACGGTTTGGCTTGTTGTCTGATCCCTTATGGTGAACAAAATTGATCGACATGACCGGGATGGCTCGACGCGTCACCGGATGCTCGACAATCATCATGGAAATGTCCTCGTAGCAGAGGGCTTTTGGGCGTCCGCGCCCTGTAGTCTGCGTGCAGAGGATCTCGTCTAGGCGCAGGGACTCTTCATCTTGTGCGACTTCAGACTCCTCTCCTTCGTCCTTGTCGGCACTTTCACTGATGGTCTGTCGTCCTTCCGACGGGACAACCTTGAGGCCAAAAAACTCTTCCATAGAGCCGTCTTGAGGTCGCTGCCGCTGGTTGTGAACTAGCTCGGCGATCCTGGCGCCAGTATAGCTTAGAATGAGGTAGCAGCAGGCTTGATTAAGCCGGTGACACTCGCCAGGAAAGATGCTAGTGTCATAGGCGATGTTGAACGTGAGGAGAACCCGCACCTCGTCTGCACCAACCACAGGTTTACCATTCACGTTTGGTTCGCGGAGGCCAAAGCGTGGGACCAATACTTGACGGTGGTACTGATGAAGTACTAGCAAGCCGGTTTCATGAAATCAGTGCAGTAGTGTCCGTACCTTGTAGACCTCCTTGGCATCATTCCTCTCGACGTAACGGCAGGTGATGGTGGTGTACAGCTGCTGAAACTGTCGGATGTATACATGTGATGTTCCCCATGACTTGACGTTATAGTTGCCACAGTCGAACAGGAAGAAGTCTATCGTTAGTTCGCGTGTCAGGTTCTTGATCGTAGCCCTCCAGTCCCCAACGTTCGTCTCGGCGCACTACCTGGAAGGACAAAGTAAGTAGGCTGACGTCAAGCCGAGCCAGCCTGACAACACTGCAGAACGTACGGTTTCCATTTCCCCAACATGCCAGACATATTCATCTCGGTCTCGTCGCCGAATTTCGGCCGACAAAGGTAGGGGGCGATTGGACACGCGGCCGTCTGTCGTGAACATGTAGCCCCTTGTGGCCGCCTATGCGTTGGGAGAATTGAACGGGGCAACCAGGGAATTGTAGTACGGCTAAATCGTGCCTTACTGTTTGATTAACAACAAATCTTACAGTTGCGTAAGCAGGGCATAGGATCACACGGTTCGGGAGGAAGACAATCTTTGACGAATGAGCTGATCGCCTCTGTCGAAGTTGTAGTCATGTCGTTCGTGTCTTTCGATGGATGCGTTCTGGTGAGGAGAGCTAGCTTTGGTTTGTGGGCGACAACACGCAACGCGTCGATGAGGTGAACTGCTTGGTCATCCTCACAAGTGAGAGTGGGAGAACAAATGCCCGGGTACCCGTGCAAGTCGTGAAGCTACCCATTGATCCCACAGTTGTCGACTGGATAACCCCACCAAGCCCACTCTAATTCAAAAGCCTCGGGTGGCAGTGGTCATGGCCGCCGAGCCTCACACGGAGCTCTTAAGCTCGCTCCAAAGGTGCGATACCGAATGCTCTGCGCCATGAGTATGCTAATTCAATAGGCTATTCATTGAGGGTCTCTACTCCGACCTCCAGATCATCTGCGGGGACGACCGGTATCAGGTTCACCGGGCTATCGTATGCCCGCGGTCGCGATTCTTCGCTACCGTGTCTTCAAGGTTGGCATCCCTCCTCTAGTCTCATTTCCCCGCTACCTATGCTCGAGGAGGGAAATACAGGTACTATCTGCCTCGACGATGATGATCCTCTTGCTACGAAGCTTATAATATATTACCTCTACCACCTCGACTACCCTTATCCGGACGACATGGCGCATTCATTCTCGCAAACACGGAAGCCGCCAGCTTCACGTTCTCCGCTCCGGGTTCTCCGACCTCAACAGCTCACACCAAGGGCAACAAGAAGAAGAGAGCGCACATGCCTGACATTGAGTCGACTAAGCCGTCAACCTGACCATACATGCAAAAGTGTATGCACTTGCCGAGGAATGTGACATCCAGACTCTGAAGAACACGGCTCTCGAAAAATTCAAGAGGGATGCGGAGCTGTCTTGGATGTCTCTTGACTTTCTGCGGGCAACGGAGGAAGTGTATACGTCAACGTCCACGATCGAGCCATGAGGGACTTAGTCCTCGAAACATTCGCCAAGCATCCAAGTCTGTTGGATACGAGGCCGGCACAGAACATTGTCCGTAGCCTTGACCTCTGTTACGATCTGATGATGCGATTTCGGGCGCTTTCCGTGCCAGCTAAGTTCTCTTTTGGGGCCACAAACTGGCCATAGTGATCACTGGTTGGTTGCCGTCGCCGCGCTCTTGCTGCATCTAGAGGGTTTCAGGTGGGCATCCACGAACCTGCTGTCTTCCATCAGTGTCGAGGTGGACCCGAGCGACAGGTCTCAACAAGCGATTGAGCTTTCGGATACTATATCCAGGCAGCTAATGACACGCAGATCAAAGTCCAGCTAGTGCAAATTCAACACGACTCTCTCTCACACACACACACAGACGCTGCAATGCAGAGAAGAAGTCGGCTGTCCATCTTTCCTGCTTCTCGTTTTCCAGCATCCACAACAGGTCGACTCGTTGCGTTTTGTCATGGAAGAGCACACGCGACAGAGATGTTCGCTCCTTGCGAACCGCGTCCAGTCGACGTTGGAAGCTTTGTCGGTGCTCCCCCGCCGCGCTCGACGCGCTCAACACGAGCTCGGTCTCTTCCTGCTGCAGGCGCTGGATGTGCTCTTCCGTCGCTCGGCGAGCTGCAGCGCATAAGGCAGCACTCCGGAAATGCCCGCGCCTTTGGCCACCAGCATGACGTCCTCGTACTGGCGAAAGTCCGACTTCTGTCCGTAGGGGCCGCCCAGCTTCAGCGCAGCGCCTTCCACCAGTCTCTCGAGCTGGCTCGCGAGTGTGCCGTCGCGCGCCATGAGGAACGACATGGTGCGGACCCCGTCCGGCGAGGCCAGATCGCCGGGCTTGAACCACAAGGGCTTCATCGCGTGGCCATGGACGCCCGGCACGAGCGAGCGTGGGAAAGAGGCCGGAAAGTAGATATTGAAATGATCGTCGGCCGAGGCCCGGATGGGCGCGTCCGCGTGCACGGTCACGAGGGCGGCGTCGTCATCGAGTTCCAGTCGGAGCACGCGGACGGTGACCTGTCGATACCACCAGACGGCGCGAACGCAAGCCGCAACAATCCAGCAAGAACATCCCACCGTAATGAGCGCACGGCTTACGAGCACGGGCAGAAGGTAAGCATGCCATACCAGGCCGGCCAATGCCGAGACTGCCAGGACGAGGTGGGTGACGAAGAAGTAGCGGCCAAGACGCCGACGTGCTACACTCACAGACAACGGCAGAATGAGCATCAGCGTGCTGAGTCCCTGGCAAGATCTTAGTCTTTACTCTGTACAGCGCCTTTCGGCGAGCGACAAGTGCCACTTACGATGTATCCCGACGCGACAACGGCACCAGGCCTCGGCCGCAGAGCCAGGACCATGAAAGCGTGGATCAACGCTTGGGCGATGGCGACCCTGCCGATCCAGTGATGAACGAGGTTGACGGTACCGAGAGGTACGTTGCACAGGGAGGTGAGAACGTTCGTTCGAATGACGATGGAGAGGGGGACCAGATTGACGAATGCAGCCACGCCTGCTCGTCTCTCCACCTCTCTCAGCGTGGGCAGGGCACTGAAAGGGTATAGCAGAAGGGCGATGTTTACGCCAGCGTACGAGAGGACGGCCAGAGCCTCCCATCGGGTGGCGCCCGTCCAGTGCTGCCGGCGGACGAGCAATGGATAGGCCAGATGCTGGGCGTAAAGCACGCGTACGTAGGAAAAGGCCTGCCGCAGAGGGCGGGCTACGAGGCGTGCAACTATGAGGATGTAGAAAGAGAGCATGTAGTAGTGCAAAGCCTCCATTGTCGCAGTCGGCAGTGTTGTAGGGGCGAGGAGCGGAAGTGGCAAAGGGCACACGGGCAGATGGGCAGATTGAGGAACGCCCGAATGATGCCTGGTCGCCGCCCGGGCATGATCCAGGTTTAAGGGGCTACATCAGAGCCTATGGGGCGCTTGATGCGTGCTTGGTGGTGTGCTAGGTGGGAGAGATGCCAAAGTTGACAAAGCAATTGAAGCGACGCCAGGGCCCGTGACAGCACGGATCAAACCCGCAATTGATGTCAAGATGAGATCCAAGACGGCTCACCCAGGCGCCCTCTGTGACATGGCGCGTACGCCGTTCCGATGGATAAGCGCCGATCGCAAGCGCTGGCCGTTACCTATAATGTCGAAAATGGCATCAAGATTGGAGGCTACCAGCGCCTGCTCAAAATAAACGGGCGGCAACGACGGGCGGTGGCCTGGACGTCCGCCTGACCAGTCCCGTGCGCCGGTCCCCCATGCGAAACGCCGTGTTGCCGCGCCCGTAGCCCCACTCGCCTGTTTCGGCGGACCTGCTTCGGCGGCTGGATGTGAGATTGCAAAAGACGGAGGCCGGACCTGAACACCAACCGGGCCGTGCGACGGCGTTGCTTTCTAGACGCCGGGCCTATACAGTCGCCCCAAGTCGAGGAGGCTCCACGAAAATAGAACCACACAGCGTAGGACCCCTGAACACTTGCAATGCTGCCGACGGGATTACCGCAGGCGGCATAAATTCAACGACCCTCCCTCGTTCCCTTCGTCCCTGTGTCACAAGGGAAAAGGCCAAAGGCAAAAGTCCAAAGAAACCAAAACGCAGAAGCGGCTCGCAGCAATCAGGGTTCTTTCAAGCCGGGTTCTGTTATTGATTGTCCACCACTGAGCGTCACCCCGGTGGATTGTCTCCGTACGAGGCCAGTTCTTCCACCATGACGCGCGGGAAGAGCAACAAAGACTTTCGCAAAGGGTTCGAAAACCGAAAGACCGGCATCTTCAAAAAGTCGGACACCTTCTACCGCTACTACAAAGCCAAAGTGGCCGTGCTGGTAATCGGCCACGATGGCCACCTGGAGGCCTACGAGTCTCAGCATGGTCTCATCCGAAGCTTGACGGCGTCTCCTGTCCCGCAAAAGACCATCTTGGGGCCCGACAACTTTGAGACGGTCGCGGCCAGGGACGCCATAACGCCAGCACCTAGCAGCCCGCCTGCGGTGGCCGCTTCGGCTGACTTGACCGGTTCGACTGACGCGGGCGACGCAGCCAACGCGGCTGACTTGGTCGTCACGGCAGTTGGATCCCCCCCGTCGTCCTACTTTACCTGTCTCTCGGGCAGCTCGAGCGACGGTGCGGAGTCCTATTCGAGCCTGGACGGAGAGCTGTCTGTGTCGCCTCAGGCGCCGCTGGCCACCATGTTGGCAAGCAGCTCGTCGTCCAGTGGCCCGTTGTCCAGTGGCCCATTGTCCAGTGGTAGCAGCGGGAAGGACACAGATGAGACTGCTCCCATGTTCAACGACTACGACTTTGTCAACATGGGAGACACAGTGTTCCCATCTATGTTTCTGGAAGGCGACATGCTAGGCACGACATGTGAGCAGCAGGCTGAGATCTTCCCTGCCATGGGCATGTCTTACGCTCAAGCCGCCGAGACGGCAGCACACGGGACCGAGTCATCACGTCGGAAACAAGCCCTGCTTTCGTTGGCGAACCGCTGCTTTCAGGTGTAACTTCCCTCTTGCGCAAGCTTGGCGCTTGTTGTATCTGTACGTTTCAGTGGTGAGCCACTTGACCACGAGGAGTTTTTGGAGTTCTATGGCGTATGTACACTATGATTCCCAATACAGTCTGATGTGGCAATACTCCACCACTCCCCCGTAGTTGTATGAAACACCAATGACCAATGATGGTGACACCGTGTGTTGGCCGATCACAAGTGATGACGATCCCAGCTGGCTGACGGCCCCACCTCAGTGCCAGAATGGAATGCTGGTCGCGCGACTGCCATTTGTCGGTGTCCAATGTTCGCTTCCGACAACATAACACCACGTGACAGAGGCTACTTCGAATTCAAAGTTGATTGTGAGGACACACAGGACAAAGTCCCCTGACTAGCGAGCAGGCGCGTACCTGGAATCCGAGAATTGACCTCTTAGAAATGAATCATCAAACCCTGAGCTCTTCATGCGAAATCAGACATGTAGATCAGGCCAGATGACGCATCCACACCTATTTGGTGGCAGACCAGTATAAGAGACGGGGCACGGCTCACTTGAGACACAACTGGCACACGTTCAGACGCGATCGACGCAACCACACCGTATCCAGCCCCGTACAGCACACCATATCACCATGACGCAGACCTTCAACGTTGCAATCAGCTACCCCTTACCCGCTGAAATGACGCTCAAGGATGTCAAACGGGTGATCCGAAGCTTAGGTGGGACGTTCCACAAACGGGACTTCGCGACGGCTACCGTCTTGTGCATCTCTAAGGATCTATATCGAGATCTTTATCATACCAGCCTCGAGATAGAACAGCAGGGAGGGTCTGTTGTCTCCTTCGACTGGCTTGAGGATTCATATCAGGCGGGCTATTTTCTGGACCCCCTTGAATATCACCTTTCTCAAGAACGATGGGTCCTGTGTGAGGAAGATGAAGAGAGTAAAGAAGATGGTGAAGAAGAGAGCGAAGAAGAGAGTGAAGAAGAGAGTGAAGAAGAGAGTGCAGAACAAAGTGAAGAAGAAAGTGAAGAAGAGAGTGAACAAGAGAGTAGAGGAGAGAGTGAAGAAGAGGAAGAGAGTGAGGACGAGAGTGACGAAGAGAGTGAGGAAGGGAGTCAGGAAGGTGAGGACGAAAGTGAAGAAGAGAGTGAGGCACAGCGTGTGGAATACAGTGATACTATCGCTGCATTATTTGGTATGTTCCGCTCTCTCTTGCTGACAGCGGTCGAGCAAGAGAGAGAGAGCGAGAGTGAGGCACAGCGTATGGAATACTGTGGTCATATCGCTGTCTTACTCGGTAGTTTCGACATTCTCTTGATGAAAGAGGTCGAAAAAGAGATGGAAGGCAAGAGTGAGGCAGAAGTTGAGGAAGAGAGTGAGGAGAGTGAGGAAGAAACGACTGCTACTCGATTCGACCCCAGAAGGCCTTTGTATAACTGTGGCATTGTCATAGCCGACAAGTCCCCCTATCTGACCCAGGCGCAGCTCGTGGAAGAAGTTGGTCATCTTGGAGGGGTATTATTACCTAGTATTTCGGCGGATACTACTCATCTTGTGGCCTCACCAGCGATTTACAACAAGCTCCCACAAGCTGTCTTCTCGCGGTTCCCCAACGTCTCCTTTGTCAACCATGATTGGCTAGACGCCTGCTCGCAACAGGGGTCTCTAGTAGACGTTGGTCCGTACATACACGACAGACTGGCTGAAGACGAGAGCGAAGAGGAGGACGAAGACGAGAGCGAAGACGAGAGCGAAGACGAGGATGAAGACGAGAAAAAGGACGAGGATGAAGACGAGGGCGAAGACACAGACAACCCGAGTTGTGATTCTAGAGAAAAGATTAGCTGATGGCGTACTCCTCAATTACCTCATCAGCTGAAGCATAAGGCAACATTTGACTACCGCTCGTCTGTTTGCCTTCCTTGAGTATCAATCTGTCGATGACGGGTTGCGTACGGTGCTTTCACCTGATCCTGGCAACGTACCAGACCATTGTGAGGATGCGCATGATGTACATATATTGGTATGCAATTACGCCATAATACTCCAGCTGGATATGGCCATCGCCGCATATGCAGCTTCCTTTGACGTGACGGTGCTCAATCATGAAACCGCGCCAGTAATTTGACCTCATGTGGATCAAATGGAGTGATGTCCGGGCCGGAGTCAAGGCGGACATATCCGTGGACGAAGTGAAGATGCTCTGGCTCCCATCCATGAAGACCATGGCGAAACTGAGCGTACGGAGCGCTACGCAGTTCGTCGGAAATTGTCGTTTCCTTTGATCGACTTGACGAGCAAGGACCGCGTGGAAGCGGTCTACAACGTACATGGCTAGCAGTGACAACTCCAGTGTATTGATTGAAATGCTTCTCCCCGGCGACGTCGCCTTTCCTTTCCGCAAAGAGTCTTGGCAAACATGAATGTCTCGTTGATCTTGCGGACGGGAGGTGCCGGCCTCGACGTGAGCTCCTTCATAATTAGAGACTACAGTGCTTGTCTTCGCCTCTAGGGCTTGACTGATATCCCGCGTCCATGATGGCTACTATCAGCAGCAGCAGCAGCAGCAGTAGCGGAATACTCATCATCCTCACTTTACGCACCCGATTCCTATCCCCGAAGACTTCTTCACCCAGTGATGGGCATTTTCTAAGCGCCACTGGCGGGAGAGCTTTCACCCACCCGCTTTAGCAGGGCGCTTCTGGTACCTGCGGGGGCACACCGGCAGACTGCTGGGGATTTCCGAAAGCCAAAGCTGCAGGCGCGATGTCCTGTAGACAGTCAATGAGAGACCTTATTTCTTCGAGGAGAGACACTACCGATGTGACAATGGTCCCAGGTAGAACGATGCTTCCTGCACCGATGCGCACACCGGGGCAGATGAGCACCCCGGCCCCGATGGAGCAGGACGATTCGATTATGACGGGCCTGCTCTTCGCCAGCCTGTGAACACCTAGACGTCTATCACACTGGCCAGGGTCATCTGTTGTGATGATTTGGACGCCATGTGCAATTGTGGAATTCGCGCCGATCGTTACTCGTGCGCCATCGTCAAAGTAACATCGCTGTCCGATTGTGACATGTTCTCCAATCGTGATGTTATATCCGTACCTGCAATGGAATGGGGCCTCGACTGTGAAGCTTGGTACACGATGTCGAGCATCCCGATTCGTTGCGTTCGAGAGCCCCCCGGATGATGGAAAGATGATCTGGCCATACAGGAACTGCTGTATCGGTTGCACCAGCGTGGTGGGTACTACGCCGGATACGCACTCCATAACGCTATTAAATTTCTGGCAGGCGAGTGTGCAGCGGGTGCAGTCGTCAATAAGCTTCTGCTCTCCTTCGCAGTAGACACTTTCCCCTGCGTAAGGAAGAGTGGCCGTGGGGAGCGGAAAGTCATGACCGATCCAGTCTCCGTTTATCTCTTCGTCTTCGATGCCGATCTCCCGTAGGTCCCTTTCGCTTGGCCAGGAATCCGGACAGGCCAGTGGTTGTTGGATAGTGCTCGATTGAAAGACATGAGGGTGTCTCCTCGCATTCTGGGCTGGGAGAGATATCCTGCATGTGAAGGCGGATTGGAATGCTATGTCAGGCGCGGTCTGTGTACTTTCTGGCGCTGTTGAGACGTCTTGGTATTCTTTGCCTGCCTCTATGTTCTTTGCCCTCTCGGTCGACGAGCTTGCTTGAGCCGGGCTGGGTTGCGAGCCATGCTCGTGGCTCATCGTCGTCAAAGCTGGATTGATCGAACCGGACATGGGAAAGCTTGGTAGGTCGGGCGGCATATCGAAATCACAGAGGTTGGTTGGCGAGGGTATGAAGTTAGAAAATCAAGTTCTGTTCGGAAGCTGGTGTACGCTGCGGACAGCCGCCTTTTATAGAGAGATATTCGTGATCCTGCTCTGAAGCTGACCTGACGTACCAGCACTTTTGGTTGCATGTGAATCTGGTCGCCCCTATCTCGAGGACTAGACCTTCAGTAGGTTCACACACAGCAGTGGCACCCACAGAGGCGCATGGCGCTTGGTCAGCTTGACCATAGGCCTCCATAGTCCTGACTTTTCTTTTCCTCTTGTCTTTTTTTCTTGTTCTCGGCTGTGATGTCCCTATACTCAGTCATCCTCAGCTCGCCCTGTCTCTACGTCCCGTCTTCCTGCTTTTCCCTCCACTTTGCCCTCTCCGCGTCTACTTCGCGAGTCACCATGTTCATCACCAGGTCAGCGACAGGACATCAAGGTCCTCTTCTACCCTTCTTCCCTGCCTCAGGCATTCCACAAGCCACTGGTGGTTGACGAGATGGAAGGCCTTGTCCTCATCGCTTTTCGCCCGATCGAGGACATTTCTCACGTAAATGCCTTGATGACGAATCTCCTCCTCGGTCGCGCAAAGGTGTGTCAGGGTGTGGATAGGCTCGCTAGCCTGATCGCAAATTCCCCCCAGATTGACGATATTCTCTTCGACAAGCTTGAAACCAGGAACGCCACGAGATCGCGGATAGCTGGATGTGAAAGCAATCACGCACCCCCGCAACGGAGCGGCGTGTGCACACAATGCAGCAAGGTCGTAGTCGCAACTATCCACGAACCTGCCCAGGGCGTAAGAATCTTCTAGCCAGCCCAGAGTGACAAGAACGATGTTCCTCGCCCTTGCCGTTCTGACATCGTGGCTCGAGGAATAGTACTGGCTCGGCTCAATGCAAACGTGCGTCGTTGTCGAGCCGACATGCTTTTGATAGGTCCCGCCAAGCGACTGAATCCAAAGCTTTGTGAGTTGCATGCTCACCTGTTGCGGAAGTGGACAGGCAATCATGACCTTGACCGGACCTCTGAAGCATTGGCCTCTCGCCTCGTGGACGACAAGCGGAAGGGGGGCACTCATGACGCGTGGACGGTCCTGCTCTGCGCTACGAATGTCTGTGTGCTTCTGACCGGCTGTTGACTGCAAGGCACATACCGTCCGCGCCTCACCACACACCTCAAAGAGCAGAAAAATAAATGCATGACAGTACAAGCCTAACTTTGACAAGCAAATTACGAACAATGCCGTCCACCGCGCTTCCGATCTGAAGTCGAATCAGACAGCACGTGGTCTGTGCGCTCACTGTCGCTGCCCGGTCGGCCAATGCCTGCTTTTGTCCGCTCGGCGGGCCGGGTCTAATCGCTCAATTCGCCTTCGGCGTTTCACCATTCGTCCGCGTGCGCAAGCCGCTAGATTCATCTTGGAAGATGACGACTGACTTCCTGCTCGTCGTTTAGAGGCCATGGTCGAAACACACTTCTGCGTGATGGGTTTGCGGCGAACATAAGGGCCAAGAGAATGTCTGCTTCTGCACAGCGATCTGTCTACAAGATGAGGGTTTGTCGCGAATGCGCGTCAAAGACGGCCTGACTGCCAGCCTGCCAGCTGAAGACTGCCCGACTGCCAGACCATGGCCTACTAACATTCCCGCACCAATTAAACATGTTTCCGGCACTGAATATCGCCGTGAGCTGCCCACTGCCTAATGAGATCTCTCTGGAGAAGGTCAAGACCTGGATTTATAGGCTCGGCGGGAGCTACCATGAGCAGGTTCACGAAACGACGCATCTCTTGTGTTCTACGAACCACCGCATTCGATATTTGCACGAGGATGCCTTCCGAGCCATGCAGCTGCGGGCGGCTATCGTTCCTTTTGAATGGCTCCAAGGATCATACGACCAAGGCAAGTTTCTGCCCGTGTCACATTATCTTTTGAGTACGCGGCGGAATCCAAAATATGCTCCGCTCACAGGCTGCGTCATCGCGTTCACGAGCAGCTTCCCTTTGCCCAAAGGCAGTGAGAGCTACGACAGCGTGCGCAACGCCATTGTCAGGCTAGGCGGTACTCACAGGACTGATATACGGCCAAATATCTTGACGCACTTCTGCATCACAGAGAAAGAACTCGATCGGTCTGGCCCTCTCGTCGAGCGGGTCGTCAGGCATGCTCTGCGGCCCGATCGGGAACCTCTCTGGATAGTCAGTTGTCAGTGGTTGACCGAATGTATAGAGCAACACGACCGGGTTGACGAAGGCTGGTATACGTTCTCGAGGTATAGTTCTGGTGGGGGCACAGATCACCCCGGCGGTGAGGTCATGTCGAAGGATGTGGAGAGCGAGGAGTCGACATAGTATGGCGAGAGGGTCAGTAGTCATAGCGCAAGAAGCTTCATTTGGCATCTCTCCTTGATGCAGTTGTCTAACGATGCTGCCTACCGTGACCATCCTGGTTGTTTGTCGTTGTCTTGCCGTCCTGTGGCCGTTCCCCATCGGGGCATATTAACATGCCAGCCAGCTGCAGAGAAACGAGCATGCAAAGGAACCCACGGCACAGACTCGGCACAGACTCAATGGGTGCTGCTCCTTGGTAGCTTCTGTCCAGCAAATTGATGATCCCTGTGAAGGAGAGAGTGTTTTTTTTTGATGGATGTGGATATCAGTTCAACTGCTTACGCGCCAACATGAAGTCAGGACCATCCCGGACACTCAGCAGCATGCGAACAACGAACAGGTATTGCATACATGTCAGACGACGAAGATGACGAAGAATGCGCAAGGAAATACAGCGAGTATTGTGGTCGTCGTCCATACAGAGCTATACGTCTCTGCCCTGTGACGCTTCACCAGATAACGCGCACTTCTGGTGACCTTCGCCCAGAAATACAGAGTTCAGCCCAATACCAAACTTAGCCGAATACTAAGCTAAGCCGAATATCAAGCTTAGCCGAATACCAAGTTCAGCGTCCGCACGGGACTGCAAGAGATTGCTGGCGGGTGCCCAGGCCCGTATGATCCGTTACTCCGTCAGGCTTCCACTCAACAGCTCGATAGCCTCATAATCAAACGGATGACTTTCCCCAACGGCGAGCAGCAGGTCGTGTGCCATCTCGCGACTGATCGCCAGCCTCTTTCCGCGAATCTCGTCCCGGCCGCAGAAAACCTCTCGATCTGCGTGCCAAGACAGCCGGACAGCATAGCTGGCGGCGCCGCCCGGGCGGACGTCCATCCAGCACGGTGTCTCCGTGATACTTCCGGGTTCAAGCTCGACCCTTTCCAGGCCGGCGTCGGACACCCAGACATGACTTCTTCGCTGAGGTGTGAACACGAGCTTCTTGCTGTTCCTTTGGAAGGCAGCTGCCGATGCCAGGAAAAACTCTTCACCGGCTCTGCGCTGCTGTGGCGTGCGTTGTCGGTTCGACGAGCGTCGTCGTTTTTTGCATGCTCCCTGCCGTTCTTGAACTGACCCCCTGCCCGGTTTCCTTTGCTGCGTCTTTGGTTGCGGCTTCCCTCCCATCTTTTGTCCCACGCACTGACTCGCCGCTGCGGGCGGGTCGTGTTGCCGCGCCTCACGGGGCCTTCCATGGCTCCGTAGTGGTCGCCTTGCTTGAGTCGCTAGGGGCGGTGGTGGGGACGGCGGCCGCCGCCGCAGAGATGACGGCAACGACAATGATGCGCGGCCATCGTTGGATAGAGGGGCGGCACAACCGTTACAGAGCAGACCTCGATCGGCTGACGTCGCCGGCGTGCTGACTAGTGATGTTGGCGAGACAGACGAGCCCGAGGCCTGCTCAGCGCGTCGCCTTGCGTCAAGCTCGTCAAACGCATCCTCTAGGGACGCTGCGTCCAAGGGCTCCATGTCCAGATCCAGAGTCCTTTCGGCAAGGCAGACATCAGGCGGAGTGAGTTCTGTGCTTGGTGGTGTCGAACAGTCCAGCTGCGTAGTGTCCACGATGTCCCAGCTGCGCTGCTGTAATACTGGCGCGTCGTATCCATCGCTGCTGCACAGGCAAATGCCGCTGACAGCGTATGCCGCAGCGAATGCCGCATCGCTGCAAGCACCGCATTGCATGGAGTCCGTCAGGCCGAAAGGAGTCTCATGTGTGGTGAGGCTGGCCCACGATGCGTCATGCAACGCCTGGGCCGCAGACAATATCGTATCCCCCTCATAACATGCCTGCGAGTCTTGCGTCTCGTTGTCCAGGATGATGCTTGGCGAAAGATATTCTTGAGGAGGTTCGGCGGCGTTCCCAGCGTTCCCAGCGTCTCCAGCATCGTGCATCTGAATCAAGGCTGCCGCGGCAAATCGTTTTGCTTCGGCCGTACATTCTCCCAGCGGACCGGCGGGCACGCCCATATCCAGGGAGGCAGGGTGGAGAGTCGGCGGTAGAGTAGCCATGTGGTAGAAGGACTAGAGAAATGATATGGACGGACCTGAGCCACCACAAAGCAAGGGGTGGTTGAAAGAGGGAAGAGATGTTGCGAGGCCTTTGTGCAGGGTATAACTGAGGGACTTTTGTATAGATATGTAGGTAAGTAGAGATGACGGGCGCGATGAAGACGGCAAACCGGGTGGAACGAGTCCCAATTTATACTGTTTGCTTGCCACTGGCCATATAGTCGCGCATAGTCTCGCGTAGTCCCTCAACACAACCAAGGCATGCGCATCGATGTGGAAAAACAAGGAACGTGTAACAAGGGACGTGTAGACGGCGTGTAGTCCAGACCCTATAGACCATGGCGTGCTGGCCACCTGCGTGAGGGATCGTCTGGCATGGCGCAGAGCGAGGGCTGGGGTCAAGGAGCACGAGACGTCAGCACGGCATCTCTCGAGGAGCACGAGACGCAAGCACGGCATCTCCCAAGGCACTCGTGCGGAGTAGCCAGGCCGCGACCTGGATGATGATTCGAGGGTTGGTGCGATGTGGCCATGTTGTGACGTATATCGGCAAGGAGCATCGTCGGAACGCAGAGGAAGGCGGCAGAGGCTCGGCGCCAGCACAGGTCAAGGCAGAAGTGGCGAGGCCGACTCGGACGGATCACACCAGTCCCGCACGACAGGCCAAAGGGCATGATCGAGTTTGTCGTCTATTCCTTGTGGCTCGTTGGCCTAGGCGGAAGCAGAAGCGGCTTCACAGAAGCGGCGTCATGGAAGCGGCGTCAAGGAAGCGGCATCACTATCCCCATACATCCCCCCTTTTCCTGACTTTTCCACTTGTCACCCTTCCACCCCCCCCGTTACCTCCCATAGCCCTCCACACTCAGCCAATTAGGGCCGCTACCGTCCTACGGCGCACGTTGGACGATCCATCGGGGACGTAGCCGTCTCTCGAATCAAGTCGCGACGCATCTAGGCCTGGCCATAATTTCCAGCTGTGCCACCATGTGAGGCTGCCAGCCGTGGCTGCCGGCCGGTCCGGAGGCCAAGTGGCACATGTATGTATATGAAAGGACTTGGTATCCTTTTGCAGTGCATGCCTGTTACCAGGATGGTTCCCCTACCTATTCTTCCCTCTAGAGCTCTTCTTCGCCCACACGGTCTTCACCCACTAGCACACCGCTGACCATACCATTCATGGCGAAGATGACACACATGGCATCCGCTATGACCAGCATGACACCCAATGGCTCCCGCAAGCTCACTTCTGACGGCACCGTCGTCCAACACGGGTCTTTATGTCGCCTCCCTCCCGAGCTCCTCAACGGAATCATCAGCCGCTGTGGCCCAACGTCCACGTCGGCGCTCCTACGAAGCTGCAAGCAGCTGCTAGATGCCTATACCCCCTTTTTATAGGCATACGACGTTCGATACTCGCGTGCCTCGTCCACCATCTGGGCAGCGCGTTGCCAAGAAGACGATGTCGCCATTTCGGTCCTGAACAAGGCTATCGTGGCAGGCGCGGATTTACGAAAGCAACATGAGATTTCCTCGAGGAATTCGAACACCTACGCCTACCGCAAATGGTCTACCGGGATCGCTTTTTCTCGGCGAAATCTCAACTGAGGGACATGTATCCTGAATCTGCTGCAATCTCTTGCCTCGAACTTCTCGTCGAAGAGGGTCGAGATACCGTGGTTCTCCACTTGCTGCAGCATGGTTTTCATCCACACCATATGCTGACGTCTCGCATCCTGAACCTCGTTTCCGGCACCCACGGCTCTTCGCCGCATCTGACCGACATCAACCCCCTCCATATTTCGGCGGCCATGGGCCTACAGAAGGTGGCTGCCCTTTTGATTGGCCAGCATGGCACTCACGTCGACTTCAGAGACAGCTGCGGCTACACGCCGTTGTCGTACGCCATACGCTCGCCGTTCGCCGATGACGAGATGATATCTGAGCTGATCCTCTGTGGTGCCGACCTCATGCAGGAGGTGCCACATGGCGGCATACAAGTGTCTATTCTGGAGTACGCCTGCCATGCCGGCCGGTTCACCGCTGCTCTTCACATCCTCGACGCGCTCGAGTTATCTGACGTGCCTTTCGCTTACGACCCAGCTCTTCGGGTTACTATACCAATGCCCTGCTTTCAAACGAAAGGCCAGACTTCGCATACCAAAAAGATCCTGGTCAGCAAGCTCTTGGGACGTGGAGCGAACCCAAACGCGATCGTTCGTTCTTCCGGAGCCCCTCTCTTGACGCATCTGGTTCGGAACCATCCCACGGCCGTCGACTTTCTCCTGGCCCTGCCAGGCGTCCTCGTTGATACACCCGATGAAAGCGGCCACACTGCTTTGGCCTATGCTCTATCACCTAGAACGCAACCTTCGCCGGTGTATCTGAAGGTCGCTGTGTCTCTTCTAGCTCACAAGGCGACCTTGACGACGACTATGACAAAGTGGATTTTGGACGGCACACGTTGCATAAGCACCATGCGACACATGAAAAAAACGCTCGAGAGAGGACCACGTCTACTAGATTTCTTCCGACTTATCTATGGCCATTGCATCGAGGTTCCCCAGTGGCAGCGCACCCATGCCCAGCAGTATTTTCTAGCCGAGGCGCCCGAATGGACTGTTCATCTGACCTGCAGAAAGAAGAGCAAAGGACTATGGACACGGAGAGTGGTGGAAAGCAAGGTGAACAAGTATTTTGATCTCAAGATAGTGCCTAGAGGCTCCGCGATGTCTCTCTCTGCTCCGGTGCAATATCTGGAACCCTCCAACGACGAGGCGCCGACGGTAGGTGAGGGGGAGGCGCCTACCCAGCTGCAGATACCAGAATCACTCCATCTGTCTCCCGGATTGCCTCTCTAGGTGGGATCGTATCGTGGCGATTGGCCACATGCTTCTCCCCGACACACCGTCGATTGAATTCCTTCCCGCATTGGATGCAGACGAAGCGGGCCTGGGGAGGACGATATATGAAGCTGGCATCTGTCACGGTCCCCGCATCGCCCCGACTCTGGCCACGAAGGTTATGCTGGTCGATCGAGGGCAGACCAAGAGAAGGAGACCGGTCGGAAGACTGATCGGAAGACTGGTCAGGAGACCGATTGGAAGGAGGAAGCCGGCCAGTGCGGCCACCAAAGGTGCCATGCTGAATCCAGGGAAGACCGCCCGATGGGCGTGCTCGGGCGGGTGCGTGGCGCTGAGCAGCCGTTCGAAGGCCTGCGGCAGCCAGATTTGGTCTGTTGGCATTCAGTCCGTCAGACAGCACGATGAGGCTCTCACTCGAGATGCGTTGTTCGAGCTGGTCGATGATGGAGCGAAGTTGGTCTGCTTGCCAGCGGGCTCGGGCAAGGGTTGCCGGTCGACCACGGCGTCGATGGATGTACGATTCTGTCGCGCGAAGCAGATGCGCGTGTTTGTGGACGGCGTGGCATACTGGGCACGGCGCCTGGTGAAACCGTGCGGTCAGAATCAATTTGAGACGGCAAGGTCGGCGTTGGTGTTGTGCCTGCGCGCAAGGTTGGAGACGCTGCCGCCACTGCCAGTGGCGACACGTCCAGACGTCTTGATCGTAGAAACACATGGTCGCCGCAGGTAGACAGTGATAAAGAAGGAGGAGAGGAAATTGAAGCTGAGATGAACTGAGATGTCCGGCTCCCAGGAGCGGCCATCGCTGCTTACCAGCAGCGCCAAGCTTGGCGTCCAGCTCCGATGGCAGGTTCGCAAGCGGGCTGGACAGTGCTGCTGGCAGCTCCTCGGCGGCACGCGCCCCGTTACCAGGAGCCCGAGCGGGCGCGCCGTTGGCTACCAGCAAAATGGCCTATTACCGGCAGCTGTTGGCGCAAAGTTGGGCACGCGCCCAGCTACCAGAAACCCCGGCATTGCACGTATGACCTTGGTCGAGGTTACCGGCGCTGCTCGGCCGGGGCTACCAGCAGGCGCTCCAAGCATCCGCGCCGAGGGCCCGGTCATCCCGGACCAGTGCCTAGCTACCAGCAACGGTTGCGGCCTGGTTACTAGCAGCCGTTGGCAAATGCAAAAATTGCTAATAAATCTCACTTCTAAATACAGCACAGCGTCGGCGATGCATTTGCATGTCATCCAATTTAGACACACCAATTTAGACACACTAATTTAGACACAGCTGTGTAAAGCACCGCCTTGCGGGATGCCAGTCGCCTTTTGTCAGGGCGGGGGCGAAATTCAATAGTGGCCATGTTACAGGAGTGGGCGATGCATTTGCAATGACAAGTCCATTATCAATCTACCAATTCAGACACAACCCTTACGTCTCCCACGGAAAAGCACACATTGCCTTCGGTGTCGTAGGTGCTGCTGGTTCACGCGCCTGCTTCGGTCAGCATGCGGCCACACGAGACGACGGACGGACGGACCTCCTCCTGGTCGCGCTTCTTCGCGGCAGCCAGCTCGGAAGCCAAGCGGCGGATCTCCTCCTGGAGGCCGTCGATGTACGCTGTGGACGCCAAGCGCAAGTCTTCGTACTCTTGCTGCCAGTACGTGATGACGCCGCGCAGGTTTTCGCACAGATAGTGGTAGTCCGGCCTATACAGCGGGTGCGGCTCGTCCCACCGGCGTAGGGACAGGCGCACGCCTGGGGACAGAGGCGCGCCCGGGAACGGAGGCACGCCCGTGGACAAATCTCGGACACGCGGGTCGTCCATGGCAGGATGAGATGAAAGGCTGCGAGAACGAGAAGGCGAAGATGCCGAAGCCAGCTGTGGACGCCGCCCGCTTGATGCCGCCGCTTGATGCCGCCTGCTTTATAGCCATGGCCAACCCGCCGCGGCCCCCGCACATCGCACGCCGCACGCCGCACGCTGGCCTGCACACCCTGCTCCGGCGATAGACAGTCACCGTCCAGGCCCGGGCGGCTACGCGATCGACCCACCAGGCATGCTGGGCCTGCCGCCGTGGCGTCCTTGCATGCGTGCATGCGTGCCTGCCTGCTCGACCGGCCGGCGCTCGTCCGGGTCATCGGCGATTGCGTGCTGGGCACGGAGATGGTAAGCGACGGTGAGGGGTGGAGGGTTCATGCGACGCTGCAATCGAGGACCGACCAACGTGCCAATACCAGGTCGACGCCGCCCCCACCTCGTCTGCACCTCATCTGCAGCCAAGACGATCTATTGTCCTAGTGTCACTTAGCGTGCCATGCCCTCGGGAATCGGACGGGCCAGGCACGAACAGGCACGAGAGCCGGGCACAACCAGGCAAAGCCAGGCACACAGGCAAAGCCAGGCACGATCAGGCGAAGCCGGGAATTACCAGGCACGAGCTTGCTGAGCCATCCTTCAGCTGACGATGGTACACGGCAACGTCATGACATGGAAAACAGGTCCGGAGGGGTATTGAAACTATCTGACACTAACGCACAGCGCATCACACCCACCCTCGCGCAACGCCAACAGCCAATTACTCCAGCGAGGTCATGGATAGAGGCGTCAGCACGCCACTGTCCAGTGCCTCCAGCGTGGACGGCGCCACCATCGGTCCCTCCATCGACAGAATGTCCTATTGCCGCATAAGCTTCTTACACCTGACCTGCGTCGCTGTGCCACAACACGTACTCGACGATCGACGTTTGCGTCGGTCAGTCTCTTCACCCGTGTGTCCAGGCGATGCAGCATCTGCAGTATGGCCATCAACGGGTCGCGATGGGCGTGTGGCCCGGGCGGGAAGAACTGCGAGGTTCCGCCCCCCGGAGTATTGTCTCCGTCTCCCTCAAGTCTGTCAAAACGAAGAAGTTGGAAGCCTGGCGGACAGATACAGCGAGGGTCTCGCGTGCCGTTGGACGGCCGGAGCGACGGCAGATGAGCCACATGGAAGGGAAGGCGCGGAGGGGAAAGAAGAGGAGGGCGAGGAAGAAGAGGAGGAGGAGAGGAAGATGGGCAGGAGAGGACGGCGAAGTGGGCGAGGAAGATGGGCAGCAGAAGAAGGCGAAGAGGAGAAGACAGCAAGAAGCAAAAGACAGTGATACGATCAAGCAAGAGATAGCTGCGTAAGACGCCAGATGCAATCACAACGTTACAGTCGCCAGGACAGAAAGCCGACCACGCCGGTTCGACAACTCATATAGTTTGTCGACGGTGCAATGGCAGTTCGATGACAGTGGCCTGCCGTCACAGACACCAGGTCCAGCGTCGCACTCATGCCTTCGCGGAGCAGCTGGCCGTCACGGTCTGGACGACGGTCATGGTCGACACCAGCGTCGACACAACAGTGGCGACCACAGTCAGCCCCGGCGATGGCACGACGGACGCCATGCTGACCTGGAAGAGCGACGACGACTCGTCCGCCGCCGCGGGCACGCTCGCTTGCGCGCCGGGCGTGGTCTGCCCGTCCAGGGGCGCACCAACCGATGTCGTCGATGCGCCCGCCGAAGCTTGCCCCGTTCTGGTCGACGTGTGGCTCGCTGTTGGTGATGCCTGCAACCCTGTGGAGGACGTCGCCGACGCCAGCGACCCCGACCCCGACAGCGTCGCCCCCGTTGGTGGCGCGCCGTCTGACTCGGATGCTGATCCTTCCGTGCTCGTCGTGGTCCTTGCGCTGCTTGAGCCGGGTGCGCTGCCTGAGCCGGGTGTGCTGCCTGAGCCTGGCGCGCTGCCTGAGCCGGGTGCGCTGCTCGACGCGACGCGAAAGTCGGTCGTCGTCTGCGTCACCAGCGTCGGCACCGTCGAGACAAACGTCGTCGACGACCGCACGATCGTCGCCAGCGTGCTCCGCGTCACCACCGACTCCGACACGCACCCGATCCGGCCGACATTTGCCAGTGGCAGGTTGGGGTCGCCGCGGCCTCCGGTGATCGTGGCGTGAGAGCACGTTGGCGGTAATCCCGCGCATTGCCTAGAAACGTGTTAGCGTGGATGTCTGTCTTGTCGCCTGTCCTGGTCGCCCGTCTCGTCGCCCGTCTCGTCCGTCTGGCGCGATCGCCAGGCGTGACCAGGTGGGCATGCAGGTGCGCCATCCTAACATGTAATGTGTGCATCGCCGCTGGGCGCCCCCGTCGGCACCACGAAGCTGGCGACCCTGCGACCCGAGCAGGGTATGGCCTCGAAGGCGTAGCTGACGGGGAGGAAGTCCGGATTCTCGAACTGAAGGGTGGCCCCGCACCGTCGATCCAGCGCGTCCTCCACACTAGAAGCAGCCGCAGTTAGCAACAGCCCACACACCACACACCACACCCTAGCACACCAGCAACATCGCGCCAACGGCCACACCAACAGCATCACTTGCTGCTGCATCACTCGCTGCTGCGCCACTCGCTGCTGCACCATTCGCTGCTGCATCACTCGGCACCGCTCCATGCGAACGAACCAACGTACTCAGCAGACACCACCGACCGACCGGCCTCGAGGGCGACGACGGGACTCGACATGCAGATGCAGGGGCCGTTGTGCAGGGCCAGCACGCCGGCGTGGACGAGAGGGAAAAGGAGGAGGAACTTCATCGTCTTGGTGTGGGGGGGCCTTCGGTCTTGGGCACTGGGTTGTGGGTGGCACCGGCTTGTGGCAGGTTGTGAGAAGTGCAAGCGTCTCCTCCTTTGCCGCCGCCGCGACAGGCGACGGTCGCCCTGCGAGCTATATAGCAAGGGCAACTGGCGGCCGTCCCATGTTGCATGTTCGTTGTCGGTCATAAGCCAGAGTTGATTGTGGGCGAGGCATGTCCCACCATGGATCCGGGACGCAGGCCGCTAATGGCCGGACGTCAATTGCCGGACGTCAGTTGTCAGATGGCAATTATCAGACGTCAAAAGTCAAATCGCGCACCGCGGCGGATGCGCCAGGTACGGGGCCCTCTGCACCAGATAAGCGCCAGTTGGGTCGGACATGCATTCCAACTACACGCCGTCCCGCCAGACACACACCAACCCCGCCAAACACCGCAGGACGACGTCTCGCCGAAGTCTGCGTTCTATGACCCCAGCAGGTCGTATAAGACGAAGGTGTCCGCGCTGGCCAGACGCCACGCGGTATGCCTCTGAACTACCTACACCTGTTAGATGCCAGATCACCGCCAGAACCAGATCACTAGTCGGATACCGGATACATCTCCCAGATATACATCCTCGTCATGTCCCAGACGAGCCACTGGCCGGAATACATGCGTCTCGAAGAGGCCGTCCAACGCGAAGACGATCTCTTTGGGCCGCTCCTCGCTGAGTCCATCAAGCTGTACTCCTTCCCGTCTACCTATTCGCATGGCCAGGACGATGTGTTCCTCGATTTGGACCCAGAAACAGCCGCCCTGTTCCATCCCGCCCCTATCAACCTGCCCGACCTGGACTTCACCCTGCCAACATGCCCGTCCACCCCGGTCAATGCCGTCGCTCCTTCCTCACCCCTCTCCATGTCGGCTGCCATGGCGAGGAACGGCGGCGCATGCCCCCGGTGTGGGGCCCACCGAAGGTGTGTTGCAACCGCGACTGGTCGCCATCCCTGTCATCGCCCCCTGCTTGCCCGACTAACCTGAATTGATTCTAGCCAAGGTCGGACAGACGGCAAAGGATGGGCAGACTTCGACACGCGGCTGGTTCGCATGGAGGCTACTATGAACGACACAGTGTCGACTCTGGCCCGCATGGAGGCCACCATGAATGAGACTGCGTCCGCCTTCCAGAGCCTGCTGCCTCGTGCCTACGGCGCAATGCAGAACCTGATCGACATTACCATACTGTTTGACGAGAGTATGGAGAAACTGAAGCGGTCCATGGGCTTGTTCACGCGGGGCATTGTCGAGCATTTCTTTGGGGACGCGACCTTGGCTGACGCGGAGACATTCAACTCATGTGATCCGTAGCCCCTGCGGCCAGGACAGCGAGGACGTGGAAGGATGTCTTGGGGATGGGCTGAGTATGGGCAAACAGGTTCGGGCGTGGCTGGCAACCTAATTTGAGATTGAGCTTCTCGCCTTTCACCCCCGCAGTCGTGATGGACGGTCGCTCCATGATTGGTCTGTGATTCGACAGTGATGAACTTTTGATGAGCCAATGGCCAGCGATCTGTCATCGCATCACCCTGTGGCCCCCAAGTCGCACTCGTTGGTACCAACACGGACAGGATGGACACGACGGCAGACGACGTCCTCACATT